CTATCACGCGAAATTGACGGTTTTTCTTAGCAGCATACTAGGTCGCCGAACTCGATAAGGAAAATAAATGAACCTTCAAAAAGTTGTAGACAGTGTTTGACTTCCCGACGGTTAATATCAACTCATCGGAATGAATAAAGTTCAGAGAAAGTCCTGAGATGTAGTCCATGTAAGAGTTTATTTCTAGTTCAAGATCATCGAGTGCGGTGGTTAGAGGCTCGATGATATCACTCCTCATGATTTTGGACCAGTCAAAAGAGCTCAAATCTGACAAAAGATTCTATATGAATGATCAGTAGACATAAAAGAAAAACCAATTGAAGCTCATCCCGTTCGTTCGTCCTCCCAGGATGAAGTCTGTCAGCAGGTTAGACCTAGGGCTATAATGCATTTACTTTAAGGATTCTTCACGGATTAACTTGAGAAATCGCAGCACGGTGTTGTGTACCACCGTTTCTTCCGACGAACGGGACAGTAAGGCCCTCCCGACCGTACTAGCTAGGTCAATAAGCTCCCTAAACCTTCAGTCACATGCACTAAACGCACCTTGCATTATCCCACTTTCCATCCTTCACGCATTTGCTTAGGTGGTTCAATACGGCGATAGTTTTGGATAGGTCGGATTGCCTTAGAACAAAAAAATATTATTTTATCAGAAACTCACGCATGGCGACTGGGAATAGAATAAATCTGATCAAGGTAGCCACCAACCTGAACCATGAGCTTTGCTAATTGCGCACACAAAAACCAAATTAATAAATCGGTTCAATTTCACAAATGAGTCCAGATTGTCCAGACCCTTAAGGTAAACTGTGATCCCAAATCCCCAGTCAAAATGTTTAATTTTTTTTTAAAATGCAAGCACACCAAATTTGCCTGCGTTTTCTAGCCAGGATAGGCGCTTAAACGATATGCATAACAATTGTTATAAGGAGAAACTCTGAAGCCAAGCAGTCCAAGCAAAGAGCGTAACATTTAACCAGTCATCACGGACATTTGAAGAAATTATTATTATTCTGCTAGGAGTTGCAGATGTAGGAAATCAAATCCCGAGCACACTAAATTAGGCTGATATATGCCGACTCACATGGACCACCATCATGTATACTGTCATTATTATAACTGTGCTATTCTTTGATTTTATCCTCTGGGCGCATAGAATAGAAATTAATCTACGTTTCTAAGTAATAAATCTGCATTAAGTTTCTGAAGGAGAGCTAGTCGGCGTCTGGGTTAGATACTTGTGTATCGTTCTCGCTTACCTTCCCTAGTCGATTTTAACTCTGACCCAGTGGTCTTGCGCTCTCGGGCTCAATTCGCACTCGATTTCAGCTAAAGCAATATTATGTCTTAATATGAAACAACTTTCTTTATCCTATGTGTACGTTTTTAAGGAAAAATATCCACACTCGCTTCGCAGCAATGTGGGAAAATCGAACTTGTTACTACAGAGGGATGTGACAAGCAGACATAAAGATCCGACCGCTCAATGTTGCTTGCTCCTGTAGATTTACCTCTAAGGTTGCATTTTATAAAAGACTTTTATCTGAGGGCAAAAAGGCCAATTTTATTTAAACTGTTTTCGGCGATATAAATGAATTAGTTTTTTCGCTCTCTAAGAACGCTGAACACAAAATCTTTGAGAGAGTAAGCTTTTTATTCGTCGGGGTAAAATCCCTATGGATTGTAGAGTTTTCCTCTCATCAGCAAACAAAAGACGTTAAGAATAAATAGTGGGGCAAGCGTTTGTCTGATCATAATCCACATTTAAATATTTATAGATACACAACGGTTGCGAAATGTGCTAACACGCCAGCATTTACAAGAAGAGTAAATAATACTGCCCTCCCTCACGCCACAGTCCCACACACCTTCATTTTATTGCCTTATTCCGCATGGGGGTGTGATACTAGGCGTAGACTTCCTCTCACAACAAGGTTGCCAAATTGACCTTAAGGGGCGTACAATCTAGTTCACCTAGCCCAACGTAGGACAACAACCACAGCCCCTTCGTTGATGAAATTGCTATCTGTGCAACCATTGATGAGTTAGTCAGAATACAACCAACTCATACTGACGACATCCTGCCTAAGCCACTCAGGCAAGACCCCAACCATTTGCCTCCCAAACGTCTACTATTGAGTTTCCAGTATATCTCCGCTTGGGACAATTACGCTCTCGGTTAGACAAATTTCATTCTTCACGCCATTGACCCCGGCACGGCCAAACTCATCTGGCAAAGACCGCGACGGATTCCACTCAAATATCAAGATGAGGTACGTAATCTCTTGGATAACATGTCAGCGCACAGTTTCGTCAGGCCTTCACA